AGCTGTTGGTGCAAATGAGTGGACTTACTTGCGAATAAACAGGCCTAGGCTACACCTCACAGCATTTACACTTCGCATAGGACTGAGATAAATGGCTTTGGCACACGTGTTTAAGGCAACGTCTGAAAACACAAGCAACAATAGGTGATATTCCGTAGCTATGTGGTAACCTCACTGCGGCTATTTCAGATAAAGGCTCCAATACGGTGACATTTAAATTTCAACTAGTTAAATGTTTCTGAATTTAATAGGATCCCTCCATGTAGGTCTTTATAGCAGAGAATAATGCTATAATTATTAAGCTTACTTTCTTGGACGAAGTGCCACAGGGTTTCAACCGGAGGCAATTGCTTCCTAGTTAAGGTCGTGTGACAAAGATTTCTAAACTCCCAAAATACAACCTTGCTTTGAAGCCAACGGGACTAATTCCAAACATAATGTATTTTTAGATCGGGTTGCCAACCAAATGCCAGAATTAGCTGGTTTGTAGCACTCTAGCCCTCTGAAGCCATGGGTTCCGGCAGCCAGAGCCAAATGCAAGCTGGCTTGGAAAGACTGCAACCTTATGCAGTCTCTCCTAGGAATAAGTTGCTTACTTCTTAACATAGGATCAGACTCAAGGTCCTACAGTGCCCAGCGAGAAATCCTACATATATACGCACCTAGTAGCAAGTTCCATTAAACTCAGTCGGGCTTACTTCTGGGTAGACACTTACAGGAGCCCTTACTCTCAAGGAAGCATGCATAGGATTTCAGCCGCGCAAGGTGATCCTAAGGTACCCCAATGAAATGCCCACTGACTTCAGTAGGTCTCAGGATTCCTAACGCCATTGAATTCAATACTAGACAGTTAGGATTGCGCTGTTACCCTCTAGTACCTTAGTATGCAGCAAGGAGCCAAGCTAGGGCAATCTAAAAGTTCTAGGCAAAAGTCCCATCGTGGGTGCGTTAAAGTAACAGCAGAAAGCCGAGAAGACCCAGTCACAGACCTCCCTGTCTACCACGTGGTTTGGACCTTAGTTCCGCTTCTGGTTTTAATCAACAGGAGGTATTTCCACTACCTAGGAATGCAGCCTGATCCTATGCGTGCTTATTTAAAAGTCCCATTGGGTTGAATGGGATCTGCCTTCCGTGTGGAATTGCCGTCCTAGGCTTTGCATGCTGACCTGGAAGCCAGTGCGCGTACAGTCGCCAATAGCTTGTGCAAGGATGTGCCAAGCGCATCAGCTAGAAATGAGAAGCTAAAGTGATCAAATGCCATGCTCTGCAGCAGTTCTGTGGCTTGTCGCTTCGAAGATTACGCTTCGCGTTTGCCTTCAAAGATCCGCTGGGACGCTGATGTTTGGGGAGGAGGAGTCCGCAGGGAAGCAGAAATATTGCAAACTCTGACTCGCCCATCGCAACACCCCGGAAATGGGCTTCTCCTTCCACTTTATAGATCAGATTTCTTTCAAGAATTTGGGAAAGAAAGAAAAACTCCACACCGCGATTTCCACGACTGCCTGACTGTTTGGTATTCTGAACCTGAAGTTATATTTCTTCCCAACCTCTGCTTTGCAAAGAAATTGTAGCATTCGACCCTCCCCACTCCCCCCACCTTTTCTTAAAAAGTCCTTCATCACATCCAAATGCTTTTGAAGAAAATAAAGTCATTTATTGTCAAAGCATCCAACATACCCAGATAAACTATAAAGTTTAATAAATCTTTGTTGTTGATGTTGTTGTTGTGGTTGTTGTTCAAGAAAAAGAGAGGAGAGAAAAGAAACACATAACTAGTTATTCAGACTTCATTTCACTGGCACAAAATTACACTTTGTATTAAAAGGAAATCCCGTATTTACAGAATTGATGACATTCTGCATCAAAGTCCATAATCTTTTTAATGTGGAACATGCACTCTTCCCATTGGAAACATAAAACGAATTCAAGTATGGATTTTATTACTATTATTTTTGCAGAGAGAGAGAGGGAGAGAGAAAGAGAGAGAGAGACTGTCATCAAATAAAGAAGAAAAGCTTTGCATCCTTTTTCAGTATTTTTTTTTTAAATTTTGCTTTATATCTAAAATAAATTTTTTACCCTTACATATAGTTATTATTACAGCTAAACCATAAGTGCTTAATAATTTAAGTAGAAACGTATGACAAATGCATCAATATGTTGCAATATATGACATTTTAAAAATGTACTATTAAAAGTTATTTACTTTTTTTGGAAAGTGAAAATGCGTGCATTTGAAACAAAAGGAGGGGGAAAAACTAAGAAACCCACCCACCACCTTTTATTTTTTTAATAAAAAAAATTATGCAAGGTAAACATATTATGCACAGGCATAAGATTTTCAACAGTGATTTGGGGTGTTTTGCTTCATTTGTGTTTGGCTTTGGTGCCCAAGAGAAGCAGAAAGGCTCTCGATATGCAGAGACAGAGTGACCGTAATAACCCTAAATGCACAAGCAAACCAAGGTGTGTACTCTGAGGCAAGCCCAGTTCATCCCAATGGGACTTTCTTGTGAGTAAGCATGCACAAGATTTCAGGCTTAAATTTGCAAGGGACTCCAATAAAATAGCAGTAATGCAGAGACCATGAATATGTGCAGAGCAACAGGAGGCCAAAAAAAAAAAAAACAAAGCAAAAAGAAGAAGCTATGACTGTTCAACTTCTGGTGCTGCTGTGGTGCAATACTCCAGCTGTTGGAATGGCCATGGGATTACTAATGAGAAAGTGCCTTTATTTAATTTATTATATCCTGCCTTTCTTCCAAGGAGATCAAGGCAACGTCCTGTTCCTCTCCATTTTATTTTATTTCAGATTTAGCAAGAGTGCCCTCCTTTTCTTTTTGAAGTGGAAAAAAAACTTCCAAGGTTCTGCAGCTATTCTATCCTTTAAAAAAGGATAAATAAATGAAGGGTTCTTAGGGGACTCTTTGCTTCAGATTTTCTTGGCTGGGTCTGCAACCTGTTCTCATTTCTACCTGTATTGTATGAAATATCCCATTGTTTCCATCATCCGCTCCTAAACTATTTGTTTAGGAGGACCAGTTGGCACTTTGTTCACCTTCACTCCTATCAGAACAGAAGCAGGCATTTGGGACTCACCACACATAACACCAGTCAATATGGTGATAAAATTCATGCCCAGTTTTGTACTGGAGAAGGGGAGGTGCTATGCAGGCCTCAGTTTGGCTTAAAGGTAAAGGAACCCCTGACCGTTAAGTCCAGTCGCGGATGACTCTGGGGTTGCGGCGCTCATCTCACTTTACTGGCCAAGGGAGCCAGCGTACAGCATGTGGCCAGCATGACTAAGCCGCGTCTGGTGAACCAGAGCACTGCACAGAAATGCCGTTTACCTTTCCGCTGGAGCGGTACCTATTTATCTACTTGTACTTTGATGTGCTTTCAAACTGCTAGGTTGGCAGGAGCAGGGACCGAGCAACGGGAGCTCACCCCATCGCGGGGATTCGAACCGCCGACCCTCTGATCGGCAAGCCCTAGGCTCTGTGGTTTAGACCACAGTGCCACCCACGTCCCGTCCAGCTTGGCTTACATCTTCCATTACATTTCCATTTCCGTCAGCTCCAAGAGAGGGTTGAGATGCTCATAGTGCTGCCGGTTCTTATCTAAGAATGCCTTCAAAGAACACAGCAGCCACACGGCTCACTCTCAACTCAGGGTTGGGAAACCCTTTTCCTCCTTAAAGCCACATCCTGGCACGGCAGGCTTCCAGCTTTTGGCACGCCATATTGCCAGAGTGGGGAGAGGCAAAAGTGTGTGGGACCAGAGGCAATAGTGAGCAGAGCAACAGATACAGCAGCTCACCTTTGTATGCTAAGCTACATCACATCTCTCTCCATGTAAGTGGACAAGAAGCACCATCACCATTCAATGGCATATCCCAGCCAGGCAAAAGTTCTCAAGCAGCAGGGCAAGTGAGGGGTGTGGTTTGCAGAGAAGGGCGTGGCCTCGGTTGCATGGCCTGAGGGCCAGAGAGAGGCCTAGGGGGCTGCATTCAGGCCACAGGCCCAAGGTGTTCCGTCCCTGCTCTAAAACCATTCTACTTTACAGTCACATCCTATGCATGTTTAAGAAGGGCTCCCAGAGTTCAGTGGGACTTCCATAGGATTGCACACATGTAGTCCTAAGTCCCCCTAGGTTTGAAGGTCTTATTCCAAAATTAATTAGATTATTTTAGGGCTCTGGCATGCTTAAGACCCATCCCACAACAGCTTAACTTGGAGTCAAAGCTATTCCAGTGAAAATGGTTTATTGCCTCTGGTTACAACCCAGTCACTCAAAACAGCAATAGTAGTAGCAGTAATGATGATAACAATAATATCTGAAATCTTGTGACTGCTCCCCAAAATAAAGAAATCAGAAAAAGCAGTATGAAGTACGGTTAGGCAAGTTGTGGATGTGAATTCATCAGAAGTTGATGAAGCTATGCCAGAATGAAATGCTTTGTGGAATATTCTGGAGGTATCATGTAAAAAAATCAAAGACTCTGCAGTTACTTCCATTTTAAGGGCCTTTTAAAGCCTTCCTTGAAGCTCTGGTGGGAATTAAGGAGGCTACTCCAGAATTATTCTGGGATGCCTGATCCGTAGCCTCCATCACCCTGCTCCTCTCCTTGCTGATGCTGCGATGCTACTTTACATGTTAAGTGCCCGTGAGTATGTCTCTCACCCCAGGGATGCAGGCCTATAGGTGTGTGTGCACATGGATATGCCGTATTGCGCTCCCCCTCTCTTTGGAAACCTGGACACTACAAATGCAGACCAGCTTGAGACCGGTTTCGCCTTCACAGCATACCCAAAAGAATTCTGGGAAGTTGACCGTTTGTCCCAGTTCCGGGAAACTCTCCACCAGAGAGAGAGATTTCCCAGAACCTACAATTCCCAGAATTCCTTGGAGGAGGAGGAAGAGGGGTGGCAGTGGGTTGGGCAGGAGGCCCTGAAAGTTGCGCTGCGCTTGGAGTTTCGGCGCGCAGAGCCAGGTCAGCCTCAGTTGTGCGAAGTCATGTGCCTGGAGAGGTGGTGGCGCTCCCGGAAGGACTCGTTGCATATGGGGCACTTGAGCTTCTCCTCGCGCCGCCTCTTGACCAGCGGCTCGAGCGCGTACTCCTTTTTGTGGTGGGAGCGCATGTGGTAAACCAAGTCGGAGGTCATGCGGAAGGAGGCGTTGCACTTGGCGCACCAGTTCTGCGCCGGCAGGCACAGCGAAGTGAAGGACGGCGGCAGCAGCGTGAGGGCCGAGGGCAGCTGCAGCTGGAGGGGACCTGCTGCCGCCGCTGCCGCCGCCACGGCCGCCGCCGAGCTCTTGGGCCAAAAGGTGGTGGCGTAGAGGAAGGGGCTTTGCTTGGGCAGCCCGCCCCCTCCCGCGGTGCCCCCAACTCCTCCTGCTCCTCCAGCCCCGGCTGCCCCTCCTGCTCCTCCGCCGCCGCCGTTCAGTTCCCCGGGCGCGCCCTGCAGCTTGACCGCCAGCGGGTCCGGCGCGTAAAGGCGCGCGCCTCCTTCCGCGCCCGCGTGACAGCCGGCTTCCACCAGCGCGCTCAGCTTCTGGCCCAGCACCAGCTGCGTAACGTGGGCCGACGAAGAGGCCGACGAAGTGGAGAAAGTGGATCTCGCGGGCTGCGAGAACGCGCTCTTCCTCTCCTCTGGGCTGCCCACGCTGGAAGGCTGCGAGGAGGGCACTGTGGAGAAGGCGCTGCCTCCGGAGCGCGCGCCCAGCAGGTGCCCGGGCGCCTTGTCCGCCGCGCCGCCCGCTTGCGCGCTGCCCGGGGAGCCTCGCTCTTTCTCCTCGTCGCCTGCTTCCAGCCCTCGGGAGGCCTTCTTCACTTCCACGAAGGCGCTCCGCTTGGCTTCTCCAGTCTCCGGGCTGGGCGGGCCGAACAGACGGCTGCTCTCCTCCAGGCCAAAATAGCTCCCCGCCGGCCGGTACTGCTGCTGCGGGGTGCACACGAGCTCCTCCTTCGGCGAAGAAGGCACCGGCCTCTCCAAGCGCCCCCTAGCCGCTGCCGCCGCTGCTCCTCTCTCCTCTGCCAGCTGCTCCCCGGCCGGGTATTTCCTCTTGGCTCTGCTGCCGTGGCTCTGGCTGGCGTCCGGGCTGCCCTCCAGCTGCTCCCGGCTGCTGGGGGAGCTGCTGTTGTGCCGCGAGTTCTCCAGCTCGCGCGCCAAGTTGTGGAAGTCCGTGGAAGGCTTGGTCACGCCCGCGTTGCCATTGCTGTCCTGAGCGCCGTGGTAGTGGTGGCGATGGTGCTGGGGCGGGGGGTGCTGAGGCGTGGCGCCCCCGGCGGGCTTGCCGTGGAACTTGGTGGCTCCCGGCCCCAGGGCGCCCTCCTGCTCCTTGGTGTTGCTGTCCTTGGTGCTGGAGTCGTCGGCCGGGCTGCTGTCTGCGCCGTGCAGTCGCTTGGGGCAGCGGAAGCGCAGGTGCGCCACGTACGGGAACTCGAACTGGAAGCGCTGGCTGCACTCGATGCAAGTATAAGGGGGCGACTCTGGAGCGACAGAGGAAGCAACACAGACGTACAGGAAAAGAGTCTGTTAATCATCTGCTCCAGCAAGTCCACTCGCCAAATAGTCCCTTGCAGGCAGATAGCGCGCAACGCTCACTTTCACCTAAGGGCGACCCCACCAAGCACTGATCTAAAACCTCCGTTTAGGATCCACACACCTTTAGGATCCTCCTAGAATCGTAGCCTCTCGGACATAGCAGTGCCTTGCAGGAAACTTATTGCATCCACAGAAAACCTAGCATCTGTGGAAACAGACTCAGAGGGTCTTCTGAGTTGTCTTTCAGACTCTACAACATTTGCCATGATAACCTCTTCCGAAGGATTTCATAGACCTTGAAGTCTACAAAATGCCAATTGTTCAACTAAAAAAAATAATCATTGGCTATAACACAGCTACTTCCATATGTGAAAATGCAAGCTACCTTGAACTTCAAGGAGCCCAGAGCCTGTTTTACTCTCACAAAGCCCCACCCTGCAAGGTTGTGGCTTGCTCTTGCAGGGACTGGACACTATTTTCTATTGCCAAGCCAATTGCTGCCTCGCACTAAATTAAGGCAATTTAGGAGGCCAACCAGTCTTTAGGAGTCGTTTTTAGGAACACTGCAAGGGTTAGCACTGGCTGACTAATAGAACCTCTTTTAAGTTCTACAGTGCCAAAACCCCAACAGCCTGGTTTATTACTTATCTCAATCCATCAAGAGGTCAGCTGAGAAACACAAGTGTCCATCTGAGTAGGAATGTAGATTGAATGAGTTCGTGAGATGGTGAGCATTCCTATTTGGGGCATTAGTTCCACCCAACAAACAGGAATAGACCTGGACTATTATTACTATTAATTAATAGAGAGATGGCTTCATCCTTTTGACCTACATTTTTTGCAGGAATTTCCGAGGTCTACGGATGTTTTTGTATTTATACAGGACATGCTCAAAATCAAATACTTCAAGCCACAGGGCTTCCAACACAACCCATCTGTGTTAAGGGATCCTGAGTCGGCTTCCCTAGGGAAGGAGGTATGTACTGTCTTGCAGGACCCATCAAGGCTTGCCTGCTCCAGCACTGAAAGATTTCCAGCAACATGCAGGCAGCTAGTCCTTCACCAGGATCAACTTTTCCCCCTAACTGGCTGTTGTTAATCCAGCAGTATCAAAGCACAGTGGCACATGAAAGAATATTGAAGCCACTGTCTACTCGGTTCCACTGTGCTAAATGGGACTTCCTCTCAGACAGTGTGTTTGGAATGTCCAACCAACAGGAAGGCCCTGTCCCGAGGAGCTTACAAATTGCATTTCCAAGGAGACAGGGAAGGAGAGGCCAGTGTAACTATAATGAACAGCAGAAGGGAAAGAAACATCAGGTTTCCCTTTCTCTCTTCAGAGTGTTGTGGATAATATTGCTAAAACCTTTCAGCACCCAAAGTTTTAGGAAGCTTTGGGGGGGGGTTGCCCCCCTCCCTAGTTCCCTTTATCCTTTTTAATGCTGTGGGAATTTAAGGGTATTAACAGTCTTCCAGCTAATCTGGTGTTTCCAAATGGTGCAAAGTTGGACGCGATAGAGTGCAAGGAACTAACCTTTATTTGCCCCTGCTAAGTTGGCTCGGCCCCATTTTGTGGCTGGTTTTGGGGTTTCTCCCTGTCCTCTGTTCTAGGCAAATCTAGAACCATTAACCCCCGTCCCTCGTTCCCCGTCCCCCGACAGACCCCACAGGAACAAGCCTTGACCTACCATTCATTTTGCTGTGCGTCCTGGCGGTGCTCAGCAGCAGTAACTCCGTCAGCTCCTTCCCGTACCAAACCAATAATTCCTCGTCTTTGGCAATCCGTCGGAGGGAGCGGTAAAACAATTGTCCATTTTTTATGTAGGCTTCGAGGTTTTGCTCCTCTTTGTCTCTGGCAGACTGGACCAGCCGCAGCCACATTAAGCCTTCCGAGGAGCCGTTGGCTGCCGAGGTGTCTACCTGGAAGGGAGGAACGGCGACGCGATTAAAACAGCACACTCTCCGCCCACCAGCCTCCTCAAATCCAGACGCGGAGGTGTCCCTCCCCCCATGAAGAAAGCGCTTGGATCGGCAGCCCCAGCTTTTCCAGAGTGATGGACTTAAAAACCAAAAGGTCCAATCCTGCCGCCTTTCAACGAACGGGAGTTCTGCTTCGGCCCAAACCTGCGCACGACCCTCTGAGTTTAAGTCTTAGGCTGCAATCCTGAGCACACTGGCGACGTCCCTATACATAAAAAACTCAGGTAAACTACGTGACGTCTAGGCATGGGGGAAAAAAGTAATGTGACAACTTTGGTTCATTATTAGAACTATTTCGTGGGCTCAGGAGGCGGATGTGCCCTGAGATCGGTTGAGGTGGGGTGGTGGTGAATAAATCGAGCTAATAAGATGAAAATGATACTGCATTTAACTGCATTTCGCAGGCGAAAACAAAGCCCTCTCTGCGCTCATAAACGCGCTGCGGTGAAGCCCCCGCCCCCAGCCTGAAAGACAGGTTTTCAGAAGGATCGCTTTCAAACCATCTCGACTCATTAACAAGTATATTGATTTAAAACGGGGCGGCTCCCCTCAACGCCTGCTAAATCATCATTGGCATAGCAGTGCAGATGCGGATGCGAATCAGTTCCTCCTAGTCTAGACTTTTTTTAAAAAACCAAAAGTTGTTGAATGAGCTTAAGTCTGGGCATTAAGGGTAAAGCGATTATGAGGAGAAACGCGCACTGTATTCAGCCCAATTACCAAGCACAGCTCGGACATTTGTCCAGTTTACACGCATACGCGCATCTTAAACAGATCACTCAGAAATCGTCCCTGAAATGAATGGGAACTCTCTATAATCACGAAGTCAATACCATTTGCACTTCTGGTCCCCATTTATTTCTGCATGAAGCGCACTAAGAAGGAACCCGCCGCCTAAGGTCGCAGCCTAAAATAGGCTTGAATGAAATCCAGGCACTTTGGATTAATTTAGAGGCTGGATGCGACTGGTCTTCACCTAATTTTCCCGATGAATTGTGTGCGCGCATGAAGGAGCAGCTGACAGGGAGACCAAAGTCCCCCGGGATTTAATAATCCTACGGATCCTTTCCTTTGAACTATTCCATGGCAGGTGGCGCACGGAGCAAACGCCAGCAGGATTCGACCCTGTCCTTTCCCCTCTTTTCCCTCCCTTATTCTCCCCACCCCACCCCCCTCGCAAGAGCTGAAAGGTCTTTTGGGTTGGAAGGAAACGTCCTGTTTAAACAGGTGAAATGTTCACTCCGAATCCTCCATTCTCTACAATATTTCAAATTCACACCCGGGCATTTGCTAAAAGGATTTAATATTTTTTTATTTATTTTTAATCGCTTCTGTGTCCCTAAGGGGGGGGGGGAAGCATACAGTTCTCGATCCGCAGCCCAATGAAGACGCAATCCTTGGATTAAGTTGATTGGCAGCCTGGATCCTAAAGATTTTATTCGAAGCAAAGCCTATCGGTTTGGCTTCGCATCAGTTTTAAGCCACCTTGACCCCGGTGTCCTTAAAGACAGTAGCTCAGAAGTAACTCGTTCGTTTCAGTTAAACTTCCACATAAGAAATTTAGGATTGGGGTGTTCAGAATAAACCCCACCTCCCTTAGATGCAATTTGATTTACTTCCGAATTAATGTGCATTAGGATTATAAAGGGATGCTGATTCGCGATCCTATTAATTCCCCTGTTTTTGGAGATAATTTTCAGGACCAGAGGACTAGCTGGTACCTTAAAGCCAAGGTTAGCGGGCTGGTGGATCTCGGTGCTTTCCGCCTCGGCAAGAGAGCAATCCTCCCCTCACCACCCCCTTACCCTGAATATATAGGGCACGGTCCTCTTGTCGGTGGACTTGAGCGCGACGAAAGCGATGCTGTCGTAGAGCGAGGTATGGCTGAGGACGCAAGGGCCGAAGATGGCGTTTTCCGGGATGTCACAAGTGGTGTAAACGCTGGTGAAAATGTCCGTCAGACACTGCTGGACCGCTTTGGCGTCTCCATCCCATATCCCTCTGTGCATCCCGGTGTCCTCCATCACTGGAAACGGGGGGATAGGAAGGAAGGGAGGAAAGAAGGAAGGATAAAGAGCTCAGTCAACTGGTAGGGGCGCCCTCGGTGGCTCCGAGGGACATTCTCGAAGGATGGTACTATCTGGAAGGAAGTCTGTCCTAAGCCAATATGTCCAAGAGACAAAAGACCTAGACGCGCATACATAATAACACTCTCCTTTGGAAGGAAGGCGCATTTAGGAACTTCATATTGAATTGCATCGTACCAACAACAACAGCAACACGTAATTCACCCAGATATGTCCTCTTGAAGTCCCACGTATTTCATTTGATCGTATGCTTAAGCCTGCGATCCTGTGCAAGCTTACTCGGAAGGAAGCCTCGCTGGACAGAATAAGATTTACTTTTTCCGAGTAATGGGTGATGCAACTGGGCTTCTCTCCCTCAAATCAACAGGACTTAAAAGCGCATAACTTTGACCGGATAAACAATGTCAAAGCAGCAGCATTCATAACAATAATCCCAAAGATAACTTATTTGAAGCCCTATTCTAAACTCTGTCACTTGAAAGTAACGTTCCCGTCATTCAAAAGAAGCGTCGGCTGAAAGGTGAAGCAAAACAGGATCGGTGTATCATTTGCCGCGAAGGAAACGGCTAGGTGATGCAATGCCTTTTGAAAAGTAAAGAAGGAAAGGGGGAAACCAAAACGCGAGGGATCCTAGCGACTGAATGGAGATGTCTTATCGAGACAGAATGAAGCACAGGCAAAGGTAGACAGACAGAAGCGCAGGCTCGCTATCTAACGCAGCTCTTTCAGCCCTGTGTTATGTGGATAAAATCCACACCCGGCCTTTTGCCACGGAAAGTCAGCGGCAAAACTCCCCGGACGCTTCTCAGCTCCCTTCCTTTTGATTCAGCACGCATTTCTTGGAACTTCGCAGCAGGAGGGCCTCGTCCCCGCGTCCCGCACTCCGCCTGCCTCGAAAGCTCCTGTCCCAGAATAGTGTAGAGGTCCGTTTGGGCCTCCTTCGCCCTGGCAGCCCCTGGGAAGGTCCGGGCTCCCTTTCCCCGCCCCGCGCGAGGCTGGTGACGGGCCGGCGTGGCAAATGGATTTGGAGTGCCTTGTCAGTGTCGCTGATTTGATGTCAGCTAACCTTTCGCCGGAGTCTACAAGAGGGAACGTATGTCTGCTCATTACCATAATCCCGCACTTTCCCTCGGAGACTTTAATTAAAAGCAGCGAGCAGAGGTAATTATTTCTTACCTCGGCACGCTTATTTATGGGAGGCGGGCGAATCCCAGCTCCCTTGTCGTACACGGGGACGCGTCCAAGCCCGACGCCAGCCGGGCTTAGGAACTGGTAAGCGGGGACGCATTTGTGGCCAACGCGAATAGCAACAACAACCACTTCCAATTTAACCTTAAAAATAAAATAAGTTTCTTGTCTTTTTTTTAAAAAAAGATATTGGATAGAAAATGAATAATGTAGGGCTGTCCCCAAATCTGCCCTTGGTTAGAAGGAAACGACTGCTTGGATAGAAGGAAATAGATCCGTTTTAAAGAAGCCGTTCCAGGGAGCGCTACACTGGAAGGTCTCCTGCGCGAGGCCCGCGGCGGCAAGGACTGAGAGGTGGCGTTCACTTCGGCTGGGCGTGCGCAGGAGACTACCCCCCTCCCCCGGATCGTGGCCACCAGGCGGAGAATGGGGTCGCCCCATTCACAGGGGGCCTATGTGCATTATTAGGAAGGCGAGCGGGGATGGCCGTGTGCTTAAAAGAAAACTCCCCTCCACCCCAACTCGGACTGCACGCGAAACCTTTAATTTACTTTTTTATTTTACAGGGATCAAGTCTTTGATTCTTCAAAGTCTTTTACTGGGATCAAGTCAGTGTAACAAGGCACTCTTCTCCCGACTGCTTTGCAAACTGGCTCGGATTTGGCGGAGAAAGCAGGAAACAGCAGGTTCCCCATAATTTACCGAAAATTGGTGATTGCATAACAATATCAGTATGGTGGCTTGCTTGCTGCCTTCTCGTTATTTGTGATCAAACAGGCAAATCAACTGGATTTTTAATAAATAATAATAATAATAATAATATACGCCATCCTTTCTGGGCTCCAGTGTAACTGTTACTACCCGCTCCTCCATCCCACATTTACAGTCTTCCGAAAGCGATGGGGGTGTGGGGGGAAGTTTCTCTCGGCTGGTGCCAAGTTCATCTATTAATTACCCGGCTGAAAGGTCATAGTTTCTGGGTGGCGTCCCCCCACCCCGCCCCAGTTTAAAAACAAAAATCAAGCACTGAGAGAAGAAAAGAAACAAATCCATCTGCGGAATAGACTTGTGTATTTATTTTCGCCTGCTTTTCATTTAGCTGAGATAATCTGCACCCCTTCACGCTAGTATGTGTGTTTGTGTGTGTGAATAATTATATGTATCCTACACACACACACACACACACACACACACACACGCTTCCCTTTTTTCTACAGGATCCCTTTTTAAATAATTGTGCTGGAGGTCGTCGCGTTACAAGGCGCAGCAGCGGGGACACGGTCATTAAAATGCAATTCGGTCTAACAATACGAGAGAGCCATCCTGGAGGGGAAAAGAAGCCGGTGGACGCAACTCAAGGAAAGAAAGAAAGAAAGAAAGAAAGAAAGAAAGAAAGAAAGAAAGAAAGAAAGAAAGAAAGAAAGAAACTGGAATCAACCCATTCTGTCTCTCTGAAATCTACGAACTCACAACCTCAAAAAGGACCGTATCTGCAGCCACCAAATTCATCCCTCTGTTTCTGCCTCTCTCTGCGCTCCGATCTTTCTTTCTTTTTTGGGTGGGTGGGAAAGGAAGGGATGTTTGCTAAAACAAAACAAAACAAAACAAAAAAGACACACGCAACCGCGACTTCTAGTCATTGCCCGCCAGCCTTGTCCACCAAAATAATAATCCAAACACATCCTATAACTCTACCCTTTGTATTGATCCGCCTGGCGTGGCATTTTCCTTTCATCCACTACCTTTCCCCCCCTTTTGGTGCCATGAAATAAAACCGAAAGGAGGAAGGAGAAGAGAGAGAAGCGGTGGGTTTTTTTGTGGGGGGACGGTCGGTCGGGAAAGAGAAGGAAGAAATAACCCCAAAACAATTCCCCCCCCCCCACGCTGTAATAGGACGCATGCATCTTTACTTACCAGGAATAAGGTCAGGATTATAATCCTAAAGACAGAAGGGGGAAGGGGATTGAAAAGCAAAAGCGAAAAAACAAAACCAAAAATGGATAATCCCCAGCAGAAAGTGGCAAAAAAGAGGGGGAAAATGACGAGTTGAGAGATCCTCTTGTTCTTTTTTTCCCTTTTTTTTTGGGGGGAGAAGTGGGGTGAGGGGGGGAGGGAGAAGCGCCCAGATCTATTGTATCAGTGTATATTTTCCATGGCAGTGGGGAAGAAGATGCTGGGAGCGCTCCGTGTCTCTGGTGGGCTTGGTGCAAAAAAAAAAAAAAGAGCTCGGAGGAGAAGGAGGAGGAAGGGAGAGGGAGGCAGGCAGAGAGACTTGTGCAGATGGACCCGATGCAGTGACTGACTGGCACCCAGACACACCGTTTTTGTTTGCTGCACATAATCTGCCCAATGACGCGTGACAGCCCCACCTCCCTTCCCTTTTAACTCTTTCCTGGGCTCCGCCAGCGGCTGCTCCTCTCGCCGCCAGCCTCGCCTGCTTTCTTCTCTCTTCCCCCCCCCCCCCACTTACTCGCTCCGAGCACATTTTGGAGAGGTCTTCCCCCTCTCTCTTCAGCCCTCGCCCTCCGCTCGCCTCCGCGCTTTGGCTCCCTTGCTCAGAGCCCCACACCTCAAAAGCTCTTGGTCCTGCGGAGCCCTGCTTGTAGGGTGTGCGTAAAAATAAGCGCGCCAAAGGAAAAGGAGGGGGGAGAGGGCGCGATCCCAGGCAAAGAGGAACCCCATTGAGGACAATGGGAGAGAAATGAATGAGGTCACTGGAGGTGCGTAAACCGCTCAGTTGGAATGGGGGGATCTAAGAGGAGGCTGACTTTGGCCAGGATCCCTTCCATGTAAATGAATAGGAGTCATCCAAGAGCTCTGTCCTGCCCTGCTCTTGGGAAACTCCGGATTCATTTCTGTGGACTTCCCTGAGGACTCCTTCCTGGTAGAAATGACCTATTGCAACCGTTCATTTCTCCATAGGCGTTCAGTGAAATTTCTTTTTTTTTAAATGCCCTTCTCTCTTAAAACTCCCTGCAAACATTTGCGCAGGAGACTTTCTCGGTGGAATTTGCCTTTCGCGCTGCACAACCTCATTCTCAAATCCGCTTGCTCCGAAGTAAGTTCGAGGAGGCGGCTCACCCTCGAATTTACAGGATTGCAGGATTGCAGCGTTATTGCGAATTCCAAGGGAGAGGGAAGCGAAGCAAGGAGCGGAGACTTTGCTCTTGATTTGCATTAACTGAGAAAATATAAAAAGCAATTCTGTTTGAATCACACACAATTCTGTTTGAATTCTGTTTGAATCACACACAGAGAGTTTATACTATCTGCTATCATCATCCACACAGCTGAGCTGGGACAAATATCTCTCTATACGATAGAATTACTCCTGGGAGAGAAGGGTTGGTGTACTACGAGGACGGGACTCAAATGCATTCTGCGGGAGCTGTCATGAATTGAGGCGCGCACATGTTTCATCTCTGTGTGGTCCTCGAAGCATGTTCTCATGGGGCCTCTTGACTTATGAAGCCCCTTCACACCAAAAGCTCTATCTCTGCTCTGTTTTGGGTCTCTGTTCTGACTGTCAGCGGATATCTGGAGCGGCCTGGGTCTTTCCTCAGTTATCCTTTTTAACTGGAGGTGCCAGCTGTGGAACTGGGAGCCTCCGGCGCTCACAGCATGTGCTGTACTACTCACCTGACCTGCGCCGTCTATTGCTTTCCCATTGCAGGGTCGCTTCTGCAACGCGTCCATTGCTTCTGTAACCCTCGCCATGTTATAAAGCATGCAAACATTGCATGTCCCCTTGCAGATTCTGACCCTGGAGTCCTTGAACTCCAGCCCTGAGAAAGCTGGGCCCACTGAAAGTTATGACTGCTGAATTCATAGAATTGTAGAGTTGGAAGGGGTCCCGAGGGTCATCTAGTCCAACCCCCTGCAATCCAAGAACCGTGCCCACAGCTGTCCCGCGGTGGGCTCCAACCACCAACCTTCTGGTAAACAGCCAGACGCACTGACCCATCCTATGCACCTGAGCCCCATATTGTATTCAAAAGGGTTTATTTCCAAGTACTGCAAATGTGCACAGGACTGGAACCTGATGGGTAATTCGCTTTCTCTAAACCGGGGCCAATGACTTGAAATTGATTTCCATTCAAACCCACCGGGAAGGTCGGTGCTAGAGCATCCGCCTACGCGCGCAAAACGTCCCAGGTTCAATCCCCGGCCTCCCCAGGCAGGACTGGGAGTTTCTCCTGTCTGAAACCCCGGAGAGCCACTGCCAGCTCGTGTAGACAATACTAATCCAGGAGGGTCAATGGGCTGACTCAGTATAAAGCAGCTTCCTACGTCCCAATGATGGAACTCGCTTTCACGCAAATGTGTTTAGGTTAACGTGAGACGTCTGTATCATTGCATCCACTGGGATTTACTTCTGAGCAGGCACGCAGTGGCTCTCTCTGCAAGTCTAGCTGAAGCTCGTGGCAACAATGGAACCAGATGGAGCAGCGCATTTAATACTACAATTAATACTACATAACCCCCTCCCTTAAATTCATTAAATGATTATAACTAATCACTCCCATTTTGAATACACAGCATTTTAAAGTTGGGTTTCATTTCACTTGCTGATGTTTCCCTTCTTTGCACTGGTTAAGGTCCCCTGAATACTTTATCCACTCCTCTTTCTAAAATTAGCTCTCTTATCTTTTTAGGGACCCTTGGGATTCCACCGCGAATCGACACTACCTTCGGGGTTTAATTGCATACTTTATATTCACCCCCACCCTTTCATTACAATACTTACAGTTTACAATATTTAGCTTTTCTCTGTCAAAGCATGGAAGACCCCCAGGACGTCTAAAGAACGTGGCGGTCCTCTTCAAGGCCTCTGCGGCTCCTTCCGGGCCAAGGGCAGCTCCCCGCGTCCTCCAAGGTGTCTTCGCAAAACTTTGCAAAACGTCTCTGTCCGAAATAAAGTTGACCAGCCGCTCAGCACTCTCCTTATTAGGCTACGAGGACTCCGACTCTTTGAAAACAGGCATGGAGCTGAACGGAAAGCTATAGATCGAACCTAGGCATGTTTCCTCGGGAGTAAGTCCCACCGCGTTCAGTAGGAATTATTCCCAAGGAAGGATGGAGCTTAACTGAGGCTCCAGTCCTAACACACACTCAACGCCATTGAGCTCAACAGGATATACTTCTGAGTAGACGTAGTTACTACTCAGGAGTAAATCCCTTTGAATCAATGGGGCTTTCTCCTGGGTTAGCATGCATAGGATTGCAGCTTACAGAGGTTCTGAGCCTCTGAAGTCCTCTAGGGCGAGGCGCTTCCTTTATCAGTTCCACGCCTTGCGGAACTTCCATGTAAGAGGAATCTAAGACGCTGGAGTCCTCTCTGGGAGACTGCGCTGGGCAGGTCGACTTGAACAGTCACTATTTCTTCTGGGCACCTTGGCAACCTGCTGGCAGGCGGGAATTAGCCGCTTTAGCAAAGCAAGGCAAATCCATGTGGGAGAAGGCTATGAATGGCCACAAGGGCTATGCTCTCTGTCTCCACCTTTGGAGGCAAGAATGCTTCTGAACGCCAGTTGCTGGAAACCACAGGAACCGAGAAGTGCTCTGGTGCTCCGGTCTTGCCTGAGGGTTTGCCACTTTGAGAGCTGGATGGTGGACCATTATTGGCCTGATCCAGGGCCGGATTTAGGTTTGATGAGGCCCTAAGCTACTGAAGGTAATGGGGCCCTTTATATGTCCAGCTGTCCTTTGTCAACGAAAAATTGTCCCTGTGTTTTGTGTTGAATATATGCTATATGGTCATTTATGGACCTTATAGGTATCTAGAGCCATTTGCACATAACAAAATATGCATTTTTTCAAAGTAATTGTTGAACTGAAATACGATTAAGAAGTATATTAACAGTGAAATTTGGGGGGGGGGAGAGAGTGGGGCCCTAAGCTATAGCTTGCTTAGCTTATGCGTAAATCCGGCATTGGCCTGATCCAACAGGCTCTTCTGATGGTCAGATATGCTGGGAGAAGCTTCATCTCTTGAGCATGATACCGTCTCTCTCTCCTAGCACCACAGGAAGCTGCCCTATACCGAGTCAGTACAGTGTGGAACGTGGGTCCCTATATGGCCCGTACAACCAACAATAAGACCCACAACTGTATGAGTGTACTAAAAGTTGCAATAATGTTGGTTGGGCATGTTATACTGAGTCAGATCATTGGTCCAGCTAGTCCAGAATTGTCTAATGGACTAGTAATAGATCTGCAGGGGTGTAGACAGGAGTCGCGTACCCACATTTGGACATTCTGGGGGCTTGAACCTGAGATCTTTTGCATGGAAAGCAGTTGCTCTATCACAGAGCTTTCCTTCAGACCTCCCCCTTCAAGGCTAGCGAGGCTTTCCCGGTGGAAAGAAAGATGGGGAGGAAAGGACGGACTCCCTCCACCAGCAGAGACCTCCATCTCAACAGGGCAGGCTGGAATCTCTGGCGTTAGACGGAGATGAAGAAAGAGGAAGAGGGGATGGGAAGAAGAGATTCTGGAATCTAGATTGGAGTTCTGCAGCAGCAGAATGGATGAAAGCCGGAGGAGACTAGAATCCCCAAGCAGCTAGTCTCTATACAGGCGACCCGCAAGCTGGCTGGCGGGGCTGCCGTTGGCGCGTCCCTTCCCTGACGTTGACGCGGGAGGTGTAGTCAAGCGGGCCTGCTGCAGCACTGATGGAGGGTGACCTTTGAGCAGGGGTGATGGGTGAAGGCCGGGACCTCGCCAGGATCCTTGGCAACAAACAGTTCAGTTTTACGCACGCATCCTTAAAAGGGGCGGTGACTTTCTGGGGTGGGGTGAGAACAGTCACTAAGTTCTCAGGTGATTCCTGCATCCGACGCTTCACTTTCCCTTTTCTTCCATCGGAGGTCCTGGTGTATTACCTGCAAGACAGCAAAGGGACAAGCCTCGTGGAAGTTCTCTTGCGCAAGCCTCATTGAGGGTGGGGAAGAGAACTAGAGAACTTCCTGGGGGATTGTGCCTAAATGCCACTTCTTCAAAACAAAACAAAAAATATCAAAGCGATTTACAGCATTAAAACACACATTCCTAACCCCAGTTACTTGGGAGTAAGCCTCGTTGAATTCAGTAGGAGTTACTTCAGAGTAGACATGGTTACGGTTGGGCTGTAAAATACTAGTGCTGTTTTAATTTAGTCTGCACTCAGGGAATGCTGGAAGGATTTCAAAAACCACTCACCTTTCCCTATAAATGCGATTCCCTCCCTGCATTAGGATTAAGGACCCCATAATATGCTATCAGCATTTATCTTATTAAATGCACAAAACCCATTGTCTTTTAATTTTGTTAAGAGAAAGGTATGTTCATGTCCCTTTACACACACACACACACACACACACACACTCCAAATAATTCCTGCCTTTATTTTCCTGGTATGTTTAATGATGCGAGATTTGTTACTCGCACCCAATGAATTCACATGGTGTGTAGTTACCTAGGTACAAATCCCCACTCACCCAGTTCACT